GTGGGTTCCTTCATAGAAACAAGTTCAAGGTATTTAGCGTCAAGAAAGAAAAAAACTGTAACTCTTGAGATTTTTTCTCGTTCTGTTTCACCCAGCTAAACTGGTTGATGCTCTTAAATTTGTCGCAGTTCAGTTTTGTGAACAGTTCGAAGCACGGTTCAAATTAAATTTTGGTCATTGTAGGTTTTTGGGGCCAAACAAATCTCACGGTTTTTATTTGAATTTTTGAAAATCATTATAATTGAGACTAGCGTCTCTCGCTGAAGACAAATTTCAAAAGTTTGAGACTGAAGAGTTTGAAAATATTTTTAGAGTTTGAAAAAATTAAGTTAGACGGCATACCTCATCATGGTTTCCATTTTAGGAAAATCCTGTCTGTTTTATTTTGATAAAAGCGCAGGCTGACATAATGTCAAATACGGATTTTATGTAGGTAATACTGGTACTATAAAATTTGAATATTTGAGACAAAAAATGTTTTTCCTCAGGGTCACTGTTATGTTTCCAGCTCGCCTGAATTTGTTTAGTCTACGAGGACAAAACTACACTGAAAAACGTTTTTTGCGATCCTCTCACAATTTTTTGGATAATTGCAAGTTCCATTAAGTTCACATAATGTTTTTATTGGAAACACGTTAGTTGATAAAGTCTTCAATCAGTTAAACCGAGCTGTTGGAGACATTTTGCGACGGAGAGGAGCAATCAAACACCCGGTAAGGCAAAGAAACTACTGCTGCGGAAAAAAACTCACGACATTTAACATATATTCTAATGAAAAGCTTGCAACAAACTGTTTTTTCGGCTTTCTTAGAAAGTTTCAAAAAAAAACTCAAAATATGATTCTGTTTTGATGAAACGAATTGTAAGTTTTTACTGATGGTCATTAACTGAAAACAGTGAACATGTAATTTTTTCAAGGTAAAACAATTCTTTAATTCAATTAATTGAAAATTCTGATTAAACACTCAAATTTTGAAATAACTGGCGAAAAAAAAACAAAAAAATCCTGACAAAACGCATAATTTGTTTAAGTTTTTGGACAACATAAGAAACACTTTCAAATTTTTCAACAGGATTCAAAAACAATTTTAAATTTTCAACACAATTCGAAAAAGGTTTCAATTTTCAAATTTCTAGCCTGATGCAAAAAAAATGTTTTAAAATTGACTTAAAGCAGATTTTAGAACAACCTTAAAAAATTCAACAAATTGAGGAGTTGAATTTATTAGTTAAAGCAACCTGAGATTTTGTAATGTGGTATATATGTTTTGCACTATTTTTTCAACAAGTTACCGATTATTACAAAATTTAAAAAACAAAATAAAATTTAGACAAAGGGACAGAAAAATTTCAAATTTTTAACCAAACACGAAATCGGTTCAAACTTTGGAACAAACTGCAAAAATGTATCAATTTTTTCAACAAGATGCGAAAAATCTTTCAATATCAACAAGATGCCAAAATCGTTTCAATTTTTTAGTCTGATGCAATTGAAATATAAAGTGCTTCAAAGAACATGCTAGATAAACATTTCAAAACTTTCAACAAATTGAGCAATTCATTTTAATTGTTTTATCAGTTTTTAAAATAGAGATTTTGTATTGAATTATTCATGTTTTGCTTTTTTAAAACAAATTTCTAATTATTACAAGATTAGATAAAAAAAAATAACAAAACAAAACAAAACCTCAAAAAAATCAACCAAAACTAAAACCGACTGAATCAAAGAGCTAACGATCAGCTTGTAAGCTTGCACAAAAACTTGTCCTGGTTTCAATTAGCAAAAACTATAACGGATGTTTGCCTACTGGAGTCATTTTGACTATAAAGCTTTCATCTTTATCGACGGCATTTATCCACAGGTTTTACGTCCGCGCAAGGAAAAAGGAAGTTGTCCGTTAGTTGAGCAATGAAAGTTGAATTATCCCAACTTGCTCAGCCGTTTCACCCATCTTTTGTTTTGATTCAAGTTGATTCTCCGTGATGGGGACTTGCATCATACGATGTCCGGTAAAATTCGTTTGTAAAACTTTAGCCATGTGCCACACTTAAAGCGGGAGATCCAGCTGAATTGAGAAGAGGGAAAGGGAAAACAACAGAAAAAATGATTCTTCCCTTGGAGCTAAGCAAAAATTAATCGAATTTTATCATGAGAAGAGAAAAGACATTAAGAACTTCGGCCTGCACACCATCGACTCATGTTTGTTGAAACTGACTTGTTTCAAATATTTGTTGAAACAAGTCAGTTGACTAAGAATTTCACCCCTTCGCCCTGAGTGATAGTACTTGCTAAAAAAACGGGAAGATATCACTGGGCGCTTCTCAATTGTTTGTTTTTTGACCAGAAAAGCGGCAGAAAACGAGACTACTCGATTTTACCAAAAACTGTGTTAGTAAACATGTGAAGAATTAAGCAGAAAAAAATATGTTAAGACATTCACAGTGATTGCTGATAACGAGGTTTAATCTAACCAACGGCATATTTAAAACACTACTCTTTGTCTTATGCTTGGATCTTGGCTACAATATACAAAAATTCATCGATTAAATCAAAACACACCATGCAAAATATTCAACAGTTTTTTCAGTCTGCTGTTGATGCTAGGCAAGCCGTTGATCAGAATCCCTAATTTGATGTGCTAGCCGAAACAATGAGAAAATTAGAAACTAATTTCTGTGGCTATCATATAATGGACAAATCAAAGCCTACAAGGACAAAGTATCTTGGTCACGAAACAATCGATAAAAATATTTACAACCAGTTCTTCACGAGAATCAATGATGTAGCTTAAGACTTGTTTTGAGTTTAGTTTGTCAAATCTTCTAATGACTATCGTAAATCGACAATCTTTTCTCATCCAAAAAGGTTTGAATACTTACTACACTTCTGAATTTTAAAGTTTTTTTTGAGCCTAATTGAATACAATTCAATAATTGATACATTCTCTCTGTAATTTAACCTTTTTGTTCAAATGATTCTTTGCAAATGCTGCGTTTGGGTCAACGACTCAAAATCTATTGTTTCTAGTAAAAAAAAAAGAAGAAAACATTATAAAGTTAAAGTTTAAACGATCTGAAACTCTGAAAAAGCCGTGCGCAAAAAAAATCTTACCATCTGAAACCAATTACTTTACTTAATACTGTGGTATATCTATTTTCTATCTTAATGCTTAGGATGGTGACTGGAGACTCTATATCCTATCCTAATAAATTGGGGTCAGCGCCCCACGAAAAACTTGTACCCAACATATACACCACTTACTGCAAACGCTTCACGTTCGATTTCAAGTTTTGCAAAATACAGCGGCCGATCGCAGCGTCCTACATCTCGAAATGAAAAACTTTAACTGCTGCTGTGCAAATCGGAATATCGACGAGAAGTTCCAGCTCTTCATCCGTACTCTTGACTTTAGATTGTCTATTTCTGGCAACATCATCAATAAGTAGTTTAAGCACAATGGGCATCTCCAATAATTTCGAGCATTTGAACGCCCACTTTTTATCTGAATTTTAAAATTTGTAACTCAATTTTGCCAATTTCTTTCAACAAAGGTAAAGTTAGTTCTGGGTAAACATGGTTACCAAAATTGTTTCCTTGTTAACAAGTAGACGACATTCGGTCGGTTCATTTTCATTTTATTTTCCCAACTGCATAGCCTGTCTTCAGCGGCAATGCAAAGCCAAGTTTGCTTCGCCCGCTAGATAAAAAGCGTCGCTTCATGTAAATACAAGAACACATTCAAACACAGCTCTTTCTGTGTGATAGAAAACGCCCAAAAAAGCGAATTGCTCGCAGCCGCTTTTTTCGGGCTACAATTTCGTTCGTGTACTGTTCGAGCTCTGCTGGGTTTACATGCCGCAAAAAAATCAAAACAATTCTGAACTAATGAAAGAAAAAATTAAGCTCCTTTCCCTTCAAAACACAGAAGCACATTTTTTTTGGACAGCAAACCACACAATAAGAGGCTTTTAAGTCGATATAAAACAAGGATAGCCGGTTACTGAGCAAGTAGCAGAGAATGTTCCGACCATAGTGTTTAAAAAACTACAGAAATTGTTTTTTTTTTTCAAATTAGTGTAGTTTTTTCTGCGTGGTGTGATTAAAGGATTTGATGTAAGGGGAATAATTAGGCATATTCGACAGTCATGGCAATATAGGCAGACTGGACAAAAGTTTTTGTAGAAAAATTACTAGAAAAACAGAAAAAAACTTTGAATTTTTTGGATCCTAAAATGGCGCTGAAAAACTCCAAAAACTAATTTTCTTACTTAAAACTAAAATTCCAGGGCTTAAATTAAGCACAAGTAACCTGTTGTAAGCCTGCTCGCTTGCTTTTTTCGCTCGTAAATAAATAAAAAATTTAAGCCAGTTTTTCTCGATATTGAGAAAATTTGAAAATTTTTAAAAATCGTTCGAATCACGATTGAAAGGGTTTCAATTTGGTATACAACTCGATCTATTCCGATAATTATTTGTGGTACCTGATTTCGAGTGGAAAACAAAAAACTAAATACAAATAAAGCCAAAAAAAAAACGAATACAAAAATCTTCCATATCTTTCAAATGGTCTGAACAATGAGTAGACCGGATACTTGAAAAGCTCAAAATATGTCTGTTGCAACAGAAGGGTTCAGTAAGTGAATGTACAGGGATGAGTCCTGTGAACAAAGATATTTACGGGGGAAAAGTCTAGTACCCAAGTCTAGTCAGGCAACTTCTCCGATATTATAATATTTGTGCTACACTTTTTAGTCATTTAGTCAGCCGACTACATGAGAAGCCTTGATGTTTAACTTTGTTACAATTTTTATAAATCGTTCAAAATAATGTTGGCTAATTGATGAAGATGAACTTCAATTCTTTTTTTATACTCTAAATTTTCAGCGCATTCTATATTACCTGCGCAATATTCGCATTCAGTTACACCTGTTAAAAAATATTTTGAAGACTATTCAACACTTTACTAGACTATTCAAAACGTTACTGGACTTCTGCCTAATCGAGAACTCAAAAAAGTAAATTCGACAAAACTAAATAAGGAGCAACAATAAATCAGTTTTCCAGTTTTACACGTTTGCAATCTGATTCAGTTTTTAGTTCTCCGTCTAGCTCGATGTTCAGAACTGGCTTCAAATTGAAAGACACACACATCATCACTTTGTTAACGCTCACGTTTCTCACTTCATGCACGTTGCATTTGTCTCTGAACTGCCCGAGGCTTACATTTTGCATAGCGAGACTTTTATGTACCAATAGAATAGCCTCTTCCGTAGGGTTTTCTTTTGTCACAAAACAATAGAGATGAACAAAAATCGGCATCATAATTTTTTGCTCAGCCTTCAAAACCGATGATTTTAAAGGCTCCAGGAATTCGTGAGCTAACGACGGTAAATTCATCGGAACATGAAAATTGGTTTCAAAAGACTCTTCGTTCGGATTGGGTTTCCAAGATAATAACTTTACAAGGACGTTTTGAAAGAAATTCGATGCATCCAAATTGTGTACTTCAATTTTTTCAGGAGATATTTTATTGAGCTTTATATTTTCTTTCAACCATTTGATAGATTCCGGGTTCAAATCATTCGCATAAACCTTGCAACTTTTCTTCGCAGCTGGTAACGCGAAAGGTCCAACGCCACAAAATGGGTCAATTAAGACACTGTTATGATCTAAAAAATTGACGATTCTCTGATGTTCGCGCGACAGCCTTGAGTTCCAATAAACTTTCGCAAAATCCAGTCGAAACTTCACGCCGTGTTCAACCACATCTGCAACAGTGTTATCGTCTCCGGCTAAAATTTCAAAGCTGAAATTTCGAAACTCAGTTTCAATGTTTTGTGTTTTATTCACGACTGTCTTTACCGTAGGAAGTTTATCCAATATTACTTGAGCTAGAATTGTCTTAAATGGCAAAGTTTCGTCTCGAAGATTGAAATGAGCAATATGACCGATTTGAGAGAAACCCGACACTGTTTGGTTGTTGGGTAAAACAAGACTGCTGATTTGTTGAAAAGATAGATTCTCGTATCCCAGTTGAAACTCCTTGTCACTCAGTTCAAGATTATTTGAATGCAAAACTTCGGTTATCGAATCCCCGCTGCTTTCTACAAAAAAAAACAATGCCTCAATTAATCAAGGTCACCATCCTAGGGAGAAACAAAAAAATTCAGATAAATTTTGTATGCGTCAAGAGTAAAACAACTAAAAGTAATTGATTTTGAATGTAACTCACTAACTGCATCTGGATTCAACACGAAAAGCTTTCCCTTTCCCTCGTCTGAATTTCGGACTGCTTTGAAGTTCGGGAGTTTGACCAAAAATGCCTTCAAACTCTTGGACACTTCATTGCACTTCGAGAAAGGTACTTCGACACATGCATAGGACACCGTCTGATTAAATTCGGCCTTGTCAAGACAGTTCATTCCAACAAGAGAAGCCTCCACTTTGTAGTTCGGTGGTAAGATTACCTGTGTTGCATTTGTTTGTTTAGAGGCCATTATTTTTAGCGCTGAAGCAATTTCATTGACTAATGGTTGCAACTGCCTCCAAACATTTATCATCGATCAAGTAGTCTACAACAGTTACCTGAAAAAGTATAAATAAATGTCTCGTTTTACTTTCATGCACAGCAGTGGCGCCAAAAGGACGTTTTTGGGCCTTTTTTGAAATGTTTTGTACAAAATTGCTTTTTTTTCGACCATGCACCACCCCTCCCCCTCAATAGTATGTATACTATTGGCTCCATAGGCTTTTTTAAGAAAAACTTTGGCGTTCGTCAACCAAAAATGAGTGTCGTAAAATAGAACCAAATGGAGAAACTTTTAGAAAAATTTTGTAGCCACAATTTAGGGTGAATGCCTCCACTGTGAACTCTGAAGAGCATGGTCTTCATTTTAACAAAGAGTCAACCTACATTTTTCGAGCCATTTGAACTTTTGTTATAGGAGAGCGTAATTTGCCTTCGAATTATTAACTTGAATTAAACGTTCAAATAAAAAGGGCATGAACAAATTATTTACGCACTCATAATAAAAAGAGCAAATCAAACGACCTCGTTGAAAATCCAATTCATTAATAATTACAAAAAAGCGCCAACAGACAATTCGAAAAGAGCCACTGAACGCAAGAAAACGGACTTGGCTTTTCAAAAAGGGTCTTGGTTTTTGAAAAAAAAAACTTCAAATTTCAAAGAAAAATTGTATGCCCTTAAAACTCAAATACAAGAGCAAAGATCAAGGTTTTTATTCGCCTGGAAAACTTGAAAATTAAAATCCCCTTTCGAAATTATTTCCGCATTTGTAATTGGAGATAGCAATTTTCCTTTCTTTCAGCAGATGAATTTGAATTGGAATCAGACAGTTGGAAAAGACTGAATGAACTCAAGGAAATGAAAAAAATACTGACTTGTTTTTAGAAAAAAAGTTCATCTTTAAAATTTCAAAAAAAAACTCTATGGCATTGAAACTCTTTGAAAATCAACAACGGTTTATGATTGACACGCCTTGAAAAAAATATCTCAATTTGACAAAACTGGACCAAAATGTAAAGTGGAAAATCTAAAAACTAAAAACCGCTTTCGAAATTAGAAGTCGATTTTCGCGCCACTACCGCTCTCGTAATAGACGAGTGCAATTTGCCTGAATTTCAGCAGATTAATTTGAATTGAAATCAAAAAGTGCATACACCTAAATGCATCCTTGATTGCATTAATGTGTTTGAATGCACGTCTGTAGTTCATTAGAGCACTTGAAGACTTTTTCCTGAAAAAATCACCAAGACCTATATTAGATTTGTTACTGTGTTCATTGACTCTACGCCGTTGAACAGAAAAAACACACGGAGGAGAAGCTGACTTCACTTGCGATACAAAAATGAATAATTGTGATTCAAATCAAATTGAAAATATCAAAAAATTGAAAAAACCTTCTAAAATCGTTTTGGTCATAAAAATTTATTAAAACAAAAAAACTCAATCGATCCGGAACAAAATAACCTGCACCAATAGAACTTTACAAGGAGCTTTCAGAATTCTAGAAAAAAGCCGAACTTTTCAAAGAATTCCTTTCTGCGGAAACTAAGCCGGCAAAAATAAGGAGACAAACAAATTACTTAAGTAGCCGAAACATTTCACTTTGCAAAAAAACAAGTCCCGACTGAAACAAAACCCCTGGGCTTTGTCAAGCATGAGTGTTACAGCAACTTACAAGAAAGCTGGATTTGTCTCAGCCGGATTTGAACCGCAAGCCTTTGTGCCTTCTCATGCAGATTTGTTACCTATACGCCTTATGCACCGATGTTTGATTGAAATTGATTTGTTACATAGAGACGAACTGGAGCTTCGCGTCACTTGCGATACAACACAAGGTGTCGAAAAAAATAAAAACTTTGAAAGAAAACTCGGTCTACCAAAACTTACATTTTCGTAAGTGTCGGTAGAAGTTCATGTTAGGTGAAGACGCCCGATATTTGAACATTATTACACAGAAGCCAAGCAGAGCTTCGCATCACTTGCGATACATTACAAAAGAAGCATAGCAAACTAGCAGGAATGGAGACGAAAGCGACGCAGCCAAAAAAAAATATTTAAGGAAAAAAATCGAAAAAACAAACTAGCTCTACAAAAATTTAAAGGTGGCTTGGAAAAATTGAATCTCAATTTTAAGAAAAAATGAAACTCAACTGCCAGCGTTAAACTAGCATTCAGACAAAATGTTTTTACAGTGGTAATAAAGACAGTTAGGCTGAAAACAATTATTGTCACAAAGCTAACTTAGCTATGAAGCGTTGAAACTCGAACTTATCATCGCCTCAACCGATCAATCACACGCCCACTTGAAAAACGAAAGAACTCAATATGAGCCGTCTATGCTGATATCGCTTCGGATGACATTTTTTAAGCCTAAAAATTGGCAGCATTGGAAGCTAGCTAACAGAAATTGAGGCAGAAACGACAAAACAGAAAAAAAAATAAGGCGGAAAACAACTTCAGAAAAAACAGCCTAAACAAAACCAGCAGTATAATAGGTTTTAGTATTTAACACGTGGCCTCTAACCGAAAACAAGTGGGTAGACACCCGTTGAGTCAAAAACAAAATGATGTCATAAAAAATTTGGCAATTAAGCAGTCAAAAGTCTAGCAGACAAATGAAAGTCCGGCAATTCAAATTTTCCCGGATATATGTTCTTTTACTTTCACACATACTGAAAAACGGTGGGCAAAAACCAGGTCTCTATTACAAGACACTGGATCCCGCAAAAGTAGACAGAACGAAGAGGAAACAAAGCCGACAACACTCGAGAAGACAAACCCAAAAATGAATTTCTACCGGACACCTCATGATGGACACTTTTTTGTTAAAACTAACCCAATTTGAGAAAACTGATCAATAGGCAAATTTTTTATTTCACTGGGATATCTGATCATTAATTTCCATTTTCGAAACTTTAAGTAGATCACGTTTTTCGTGACCTTTAAATTTTTGCTGTTCGATAGTGAATTTTGTCTTCCTTTAAACAATTGAAATGCACGTTTTTTGGTCAACTGAAATCGAAAATAATTGACGTAAATTTTAATTGGTATTTTGAAGTTCATATGGAATTTAGCTCAAAAATACTCTAATTAATTTTTCATTCAGGCTACAGGCATTGACGTCAATCATTAGCTGTCGAGAGGAAATTTATTCAACATTGAACGCAACTAGATCACTTTTTATAACAATCGACTACAACCTGCTTAAAAATATTGTTTGAAGAATCTGCATTTTGATTGGTCGAAAGTTTCCTGATTTAACCTTCTTTAACAATTCTCCCCTCCCTTTCGTGAAAAAGGAATTGTTAAGAAGAACTGATGAGCCACCGTGACTAGACTGAATTGTTTTTCATTTTTCTGATATTTTACAATAGGGCGCAATGGAGAGTTGCTCCAAACTGACCATTAGTAGCACGTAGACACAAGAGACAGACGGAAAATTAGTCAATCAGACGGCCAACAGACATCTTTCTCCATGTCTATCGATTTTTTGGGCTATTTTTATAATGGCTTCTAAGAAGCAGTCATCAGTTATCTTGTTAAGAATAAAAGCGTAAATATAAGCTGGCACAATGCCAGCTATGCTAATACTAAGGAAGCTAGAACAATTTACGGATAACTTTAAAAGCTCCTTCGGCTAACCAGAAAGTAGACGTTTCCGGAACTTGTAACATCAGGTCGCCCAAAACACTTATCCTCCGCTCGTAAACCTCCTTCCACCTAAGCTGTCGAAAAGTGCGAAAACATTGAAAAGTCATTATCCTTATCTTTAGCCGATGATGCCAAACACTATGTCTTATAGCGATTTCTTTTGTATCCAAACTCTTTAAGCGTACTATTTACACACAGAAGCAAATCGGAGCTTCGCACTATTTGCAATTCATCACAAGCCCAACAACTTAGACGAAATCACTAAGTATAAAAATGATTCAGATGAAAAAAGGAAAACACCAAACTATGTTTACCGAAATTTTCATAAGTGTCTCAAATAATTTCACTTTGAGCTTAAACAAGTCAAGAAAGGGGGTCTATGACAACAGGCCGACGGGACTTCAAGCCGTAGGGACTTCAGGTCGGTATTTAAACTTTACAAGCACCTCAAATCACTTTTTTATCTTCTGCAAAATGTTGCTTTTCAAAAATTAAGACAAGTTTGGTCCATATTAAGCGCTATTCATGACAATGCACAACCTGTGATTGGTATCCGTTAATAACATCAGCCGGTTTCTGAAATACATAAATTATAAACATGAAAAACGCCTTTAACCGTGTTTTATTTTTCAACTTCACTAAAGAGCTTTCGGAGGCTTAAATTTTTTGAAAACGCTATTCACCAATGAAGGAAGATCAAGAAATTCAGAAATTCTCAAAAAAGAAGCTTCCAAATAATGATATTTCACAACTTTATCAGATTCGGATTGAAGTCCCGTCGGCTTGATATCCGGCACCCAGGGAAGACATGTCGACGACAAATTAGCATCGAAAGAAAAGTTAATGAATTGGTTACAAAGCCGACATAACTTGAATAGATAGCCGTACCGCTACATTTTCAGCTACAAAAACTTTAATGCTTGAAGTTTTCAAGTTTTACACAACCCCAGCCCACACAAAAATGTAAAATCAATATCGCTCTTCAAACGACGCAATATGAGGCAACTAAATCGGTATAAGCTTATTCAAAACATTTTAAGCCGAATAAACATTTTATGCAAAAAAAATTAGAACGAAGTAGCCATATATCATATCACTTTGGCTTGTTGAACACATAGACGAGGCTGCATTTCGCACATACTCCAAACAACTCAATAGTTCACAATACAAAAGCATAATCAAAAAATCAAAACATAGCCAGCAATTTGAACAGAGTGAACCTGTTTTTTGAAAATTTCAACTTTGAATTTCGAAGTAAAAAAAATATTGACTTAACGCTCTTTAAAATTCAGAAGCATTTAGTGGGATAGCTTAAAATTAAAATCCAATTTTGATACTTGAAATCGTTCACGTTTTTTTTGCGTTAATTCCACGTTTGTATTTGGAGAGTGCTATTTACGTCTCTTTCAGCAGATGAGTTTCAATTGAACTCAAAAAGTGCATATATACATAAATGCATCAATGTATGAATGCACATCTGTAGTTATTAGAGACTGATAGAATTTTTCCTGAAAAAACAAACAAAAATCAGCAAGACCTATATAAGTCTTCACTACATTCATTAATTACTCTTAAACATAGCTAACAGAGAGTTGGAAAAGAGTCAATGACATCAAAAAAACAGAAAATACTGAATTGCGTTTTGAAACTTCAACTATCGAAAAAAAATTATATGGCCTTACAGCTCTTTGAAAATCAACACCGACTTCTCTGTGACACCTTTTAAAATAAAGTTAACTAATTTGAGAAAACTGGATCAGTTGGTTAACTTTTTTCCGTTGGGAAATCTTAAATCCTAAATGCAATCATAAATGCATTAACATGTATGAATTCACTTCTGTAGTTATTAGAGCATTTTAACACTTTATCCTTAAAAAAATCACTTATGTAAGAGTCCTCACAGCGTCCACCGACTCTCAAACAAAAAGCGCATATATACTCAATTGCATTCATAAATTCATTAATATGAAGTTATAGGATCATTTCAAGACATTTTCCTGAAAAAAAATCATCAAGACCTATATAAGAGTTTTCACTGCGTTTATGACTGTAAATAAAAAGCTTACACAGAAAAAACAGCAAATAATGCAAATCAATGCACAAGAAACACAGCAAATGTCAAAAATTGGTAATGATGTTTTTGTTTTAGAAAATCATCTTTTCGAAAAAGAAAAATTCAAAACAAATCGAAACACCAAATTCCATCAATAAGCAGCGATTCCACTATGTCTGCAAGTGTTGTATATTTTGTTCTGAACCAGCAAACGCAAAATTTATTCATTTTTTCAACTGATATGCGGAAGTAATGAACATGAAACATAACCAACAAACAGTGGTGAAAGTGTCACTGAGCTCGATAAGGCAAGCTTTTTTTGAAACACTTTCAGCTTTCATTGCTTCAAAGGATAATTATATCGCTTTGAAGCCTTCTGAAATTCAAGAAAACTTTATGATTGACATCTTTCTGATAAAAGTAATCCAATTAGATCATACTGGACCAATAGGTAAATCATTGCCGACTGCACAAAAAATTAATTACATTTTTTTCGCGCCATTTGGTCTACAATTGGCTGTCACATCAAACAGCTGCTGAAAACATTCAGAGAACATAACAAACCGCTCATAGGTTCCACAATGCAGCAGTACTTATTGCAAGCTTTCTCAAAGCGAGCTCCAAAATTGTTCCATACAGAACTGAAAAAAAAGTTGGTTCCGCAGAACATCGTTACTCCAAGCTTCCGCTACTGTATGTAGTCAAAAGCAATAAACCTTATGTATCCAGGAATCCACTTGACAATCTTTTGCAGCACCAACAAATCGCTTGTTGCTTTTCAAAAAAACAACCGTGCTTCCTTTCTACAACCTGATATCAAAAACTTGGTTCAATTCTGTGCTTTTAAAATATAGAACATTCATTACTTATTTTGGATAAAACATTTTTCAGTTTAGTCTGGAACGCCATTTCCTGATTTTGACGGCAGTCAAGCATATATTATGCAAACTACTGGTTAGGTAAGTCTTGTCAATTTTTGTAATAGTGCGTGCAATTCAGGAGTTAATTTATCATTCAAGCTGACACTTGAATACCACCGCCTTCATTATGCATTTGTGACTCGTTACTAGCCCTGAAGCTGCAAGACGATTCCTCTGCCTTGTCACGGCAGAAGTCGCACCCATTTGCCGGACACATTGGTAGGTCAAGCGGCAGTCTATTCTCGACCCAAGTCTCAAATAGAGCCCCTACCAATTCATCCATCATTTCCTCCGTATGAAGAGGCGAGGGGGCAATTCGAAGTCTCTCAGTTCCCCTTGCCACAGTAGGATAGTTGATAGCTTGAATATAGATTCCGTATTTGTCCAAAAGGTAGTCTGAAACTCGAGTGCACGCTTCCGGATTTCCTACCTACAACAACAACAACAACAACAACACTTCTTTGTCATTTATAAATAAAGAGTGAAAGATGCAACGGAAATATTTTTAGCAAAACACAATAATTTAAAATTGTATACTTTTCTTCCAATTTCAACCATAAATAGGCCACTTTTGATCACAAATTAGCAGTGAGGTCTTTATTTGTATGACCCTTGAAAACTGCATGCTGACCAAAATTAATGGAAAGTTTCATGCTGTCTTTTAATTTTGTATGCCCGGAAAACAAATCAGGAATCAGAAATGCAACAGAAAAGCTTACATGAATAGGTATGATATGACTGGGCGCATCGATCACAGGCAGCCCAGAATGCAGCAGCTTATTACGTAACAACTTGACGTTCTCCTGTTGCCTATTACGTAACTCCTGTCCCTCCTCTCCTTTTAGTATTCGGATGGCCGTGATTGCGCCGTAGAGTACCGAGGGAGGTAGAGATGTTGTGAAGATGAAGCCCGAGCCGTAACTTCGGATAGCGTCGATGAGTGATGCGTTGGCCGCGATGTATCCTCCAATGTTGCCAAATGCCTTGCCTGGAGAGACATCATTTGTTATGGATACTTAATTCGCTTACTAATTTCATACAGTGGTGACGCCTATTACAGAGCAAACAATAATAGAGTGCTGCTGTGCAAAAGACCCAGAATGTTGAGAAAACTTTTAAAACAACGAACGCAAGTATACAAAAAAAATAAAATTGACTGATTGCCATGTTTATTGACTTCAACTTTCGAAGAAAAAAAATATGGCACTAAATTTATTGTAACTTTTTTTGATAAAAATTAAACCAATTTCAGAAAACTGGTTCTAAAGTTTTTTCTGCTGAGAAATCTGAAAAATCAAATCCATTTTCGAAACTAGAAGTCAACTCACATTTTTCGTGACCTTCATATTTTTGCTGTTCGATATGGATTTTGCCTTCCTTTTACCGAAAGAAATAAACTGAGCTTAAAAAGAAATCAGAACACAAATTGAGAAAAATCAAAACCAAAAAAAATTCATCACGACCTATATTTAAGAGTCTTCACAACATTCACCAACTCTATAACAAACGTGTAGCTACTTTTTTGCCGTTTATCACAAGAAATTAATTTAGAGAAAAATGAAACCGGAAGTTGTTTATAGTAAACACCTGAAAAACGATATTTGCCATTTAAAAAGATAAACATTTCATCCACTATTCGACCTTAACACATGCGACGCACGCATGTAAAAAAATGATACAAAAATGAACGAATACTAAAATAAAAACATATTTTTCAGATGCATTTTCAACTCACGTTTAAACTCGGCTACAATAATCTAAATTGTTCAGAAGGTGAGCGATAGTATGGTAAGCTAGCACACAGAAAAAGAGACGAAAACTACAGTCGAAAAAAAAAATTTAGTCAAAACAGTTGAATTAACTAATTCTATCAATACTTTCATACATCTTTCACGAAATAAACCCAGAACGACAACTTCGATCGTTAAATAAGCATTGAAAAACAAATTGTGAAGCAGTAACTAAGCCGATAATCACAACAAGAAGGGTTTCAATCCAACAAAATATTTCTCCCTGTGAAATGTGCGTAGAAAGAACTTAAGGAAAAATTTTCCAAAACGTTTAATTGCTGCTCCAAATATGAGTGAAAGTGCTTCAATCCAAACGATAACTCCATTAGACACATACGTAGAAAAATTAACATTGCGCAAAAACAGTTTCTCCGATTTTTGGATCAATGTAGTTTTTACAAAAGAGCAAAGTTGTGCTTTGCGTATATTAGCAGAAAAAAATATAGCCAACAGACAGTTAAAAAAAGATTCATGAGCGCAAGGAAGCAACTAAAACTGACTGTTTTTTGAAAAAAGTTCAAGCTGTGAATTTCAACGAAAAAAAAGGCTTGTTGAATTCCAAGAACAATTTGTGACTGACACTTTTTTGATAACATTGATCCATTTTGAGAAAACTGGATCATTAAATTTTTTTATTTATTGGAGAGTGCTATTTACCTCACTTTCAGCAAATGAATTTCAATCTCAAAAAATGCAAATATATCTAAGTGCATTCATAAATGCATTATATGTATGAATGGAATGGACATCTGTAGTTATTAGAGCATTTTAACACTTTTTCCAGAAAAAATCACCAAGACCTATACTAGAGTCTTCACTACGTTCATTACTCTTAATCAGAGTATTCAGTAACTTATTGAACACAAATGAATTGTTTAAATAATTGAACATAGCCAACAGACCGTTTACATTAAGCATAAAACCGTATCTTTTTGTGAAATTTTTAGTGCTTCGTAGAGTTAAATATGCCACCTTAAAGCTTTCTATTTCAAGAAACTCTTGTTAAATTATTCAGATGGTAAATCTAACTCAGTAGATGAAAAAGCAGACCATACCTCTGGGAACTATAAGACTGAAATCAACAATTGTAAATTAAAATGACGCCATCTTTCCGCGTTAACTTGCAGAAGGATTTACATTTTAGTTCAATTGAAGTCACAATATTTTTAAAATAAAGTCAAAAAAGATTCAAAAACTCATAGTCGGCTACTATTCCTTTAAGTCGGCTACTAAAAAATTCAAAAACTCATAGTCGGCTACTAAAAATTAAATACAATCTATGACAATTTGAAAACACTTGACGCCTATACCAATACTTGAGATTAAACTTTAGCTCACGAATAAATCGTTTCACCAAATGCATGACAGATTTTGTTTCATGAAGTGTAAGTGCTCGAAAATTACCCGAGAAATTCCATCTAATATCGCGTGTTTGAATGGACTCAAATTCGTTTTTTAATAGACAACGCGAATAAACTGAATTCATAGAAGAAAACTAATCTCCTCTTGAATAAGTTGCAAAATTGGTTGAGCGTGTAGGTGTTATTGTAAGGCGAAACCCAATCAAGCACAAAAATGAGACAGAAAAACACTCGGCAACCAAGCAGAAAGAATACCGAAAGGCACAAAATTGAACAAAATTATCTGCAAACATTTCCTTAACTATGTTAGCATACTTAAAGTTGCCAGCGTTGTTAAAAATAGGATACAGCTCTACGAAATTTGCTTCAAAATTTTAATGGAAAAAACTAGTACAAGATTGAAATACTTATGCGATCGACGTGGTACTAGATTTTGCCCAAAAACTAAGATAACTATTTACCAAGGGTTCCCGATAGGATGTCAATCTTGTGGAGTGCCTTGTCTCTCTCCCCTATGCCCGCCCCTCTTTCCCCATACAGACCCACTGCATGCACTTCATCCACGAAAGTCAGGGCTCCATACTTGTGAGCTACGTCACACATCTCGTGCAGGTCACAGATACTTCCTAAAACACAGTTACACCCACTAAAACTGCTGCCATAGATTTTTAAAAGCGCTTCAAAAAAGAACATTATTTTTCTTGACGTAAATAGTTTAAAAAGTCAGCAGCTACCTAAACGTTCATAACCCGGTCTTTTGATGTGGACTAATCAAAACAATTCCATTTCAAGATAATCGAAAACATCAAAAACTGTTTAAAAAAAAACGTTGATATAAAATCGACTGTTCTTCAAAAGTAGATATAAAACAAGACTGCTCATATCAGGGCAAAGCCCTGAATGTTCCGACTGTCTATAAACTGGTCTTGAATAGTTTTTAGTTACCGAAATACTAAATTGCCTTAATTCAATTTGGAACGATTTTGTGGCGCGGGATAATTCGCAAAGTGTAAATAATGCGAGTTAAACTTTCAGCATCAAAGTATCACAGCGCTCTTTTAGTCACGATAGTCTATTAGTGAGCCTTTCCCAGTAAGCTTGAATTAAGGAAAGCCTGGCGGGAGCACGAAGATCCATGGATCGATCCCCCGAGGGAAATATTTTTGAGAATTGGTCCGAACAAAACAAAACCACCCCGAGCATATATATTCCTTGCTTTCCTCGAAATTCGGAACAATAAATCCCATGAATCGTTTATAAAAAGGCAAACATTTCATTTTTCCATCATTATATTTTAGCTAAAAATAAGCCAAAGTCAGTTCATAGTTTAATGAAATCCTAAGCCGTATAAATGAATCCAAGAGCGGTTTTTGTAATGCGAAAAATGCCGATAGCAAAATGTTAATTTCATGCTACTAAAGTAAAGGAAACCATTGATACAATTGAGATATAATATATGATACACAATAGGATATAATTAAATATTGAGAACCCTTCCGATTAGAAAATGAGCTAACGATGTTCCACAAAAAATCTAATAATCGCAATTAATGAAATAAAAGGAGTACAAAACAAAGGAATTTTGATCAATTTGGTTGACTTATGGTAAACTGAGAAGAGGATTAATAGCTTCCTTGGCCTGCCTTCTCCAAAAAACTAAAAAGCATTTAGAAAACTCGACGTTTACCTTTTTTTCCCATGATATCAAGTTGGCCGATCAAACAAAACATTTGTGAAGGGTGCGAAATGTTGCCACACTCTCCACAACCAGTACGATCATGGTTGCTCTCGAATACGACCTTTCCACCGAGAGGCAAAACCCTACATCACTTAACATCTACTACATAGCCTCAAAAATGCTCCATATGTTAAAGCCCTAAAATTTTACAGCCTCAAAAGCGCCCCATAAAATTTTGTTTCCAACAGAAGTATTGCCACAAAAAATTAAAACTTTCCGCACAGTAATTCCGCAGAAAAATATAATTCAAATTTTCTTCGTGTATATTTTGACCTAAACAATAGAGGCTCAGAAAATGATTTCTCGATAGATGGCAGGAACTTGACAGCCACATATTCATATGCATTTAGTGATTACACTCACCGTCCATAGAGTGCACTGACTCGAATGCGACCACTTTGGGAGTGGATGGGTCTGCTTTGGACAGCAGCTCCTCCAGATGTTGAGGGTCATTGTGCTTGAAGATGTACTTGGGTGCCCTGCTGTTGCGGATGCCTTGGATCATTGATGCATGGTTGCCTTCGTCAGAATAGATTTCACACCCTAAAGAAGCAATAGATTAGTAGTTTGTTGGATTACGTACGAGTTGTTCATTTAATTGCGAACAGCTGTTTACAGTCCAATGATAATTAAACGCAACTGTTTACAGTCCAATTTTTCCTGAAAACAAACCTTAAAATTAGAATGGGGTAGTTTTTTACAAAAACTTTTTTTTCTCCTACTTTGGACGGTTCTTGAGTGCTATCGGACTAACTAACCATTTCATTTGTTTGAATTTTTGGATTGCATAACAAATTTTTAAGAACATATTCTGATAAAATGCTTTGGATCATTTTAATTTGATTTCAAATTTACCAGGCAGCAATTTCGGAAGTGTGAACAAAGTCGTGTCATTCGCAACATAACACGAAGTGAAGATCAAAGCTGCCTCTTTCTGATGCAGATCCGCCAGTTCAGCTTCTAACATGTAATGATAGGGAGTGGTTCCCGAAATATTCCTGGTGCCTCCCGCACCCGATCCGTGTAGATTAATGGCAGCAGTTGCCGCCTCGACGACCTTGGGGTGAGAAGTCATTCCCAAGTAGTCATTGCTGCACCACACAGTTATGTCTCGAGTGTCTCGAATCCCGTCCATGATTTCCTCATTCTGAGATTTCATTGCGTTCCAAACTGGTACGCTCTTCTCATGTTCAAATGCAATCGGATGGATTCCAGCCTGTCTCTCAACGGATTTGAAAAACCTGTAGGAGTGGTCATTTTTCTTTATTTCGATGTGTTTCTGCATCACCTGTTCGTAGTCGATATCCCCAAACTCTGAAAAATAAAAATTACAAGGATTTTTGAAAGTCAATTTTAAGATAGCTTATGATGTGGTCGTCTTTACTTATCGCAAAGTGTCGTGTGCTAAACAGCAGTTGAAGAAAATCAACCGCAATTTTAATTACCAAACTTCATAGCTGACAAATAGAGAAAAACTAAGTAAGACACATTAACAATCATTAAAACATTCCTTAATTTAACTATCCTATTTGAACATTGGAGCCCAAAAGAGTTACACAAAACTAACAGCTGATGCTTGACTTACTCGGTAGTCTACTGTTCTGCTGTCGCATTTCATCACACACTTTCTTCACCACTGGGAACTTATGCTCATTGGCCCCTTGTGAATTCCCACGCAGTCCCTTCATCATAGGACATTTGGATGCCTCAATGTTTTTGTCAGCAGTGTCGAATTTGATTCCGTACTGGTTGTGCAGCTTCGCTAGTTGATCGGAAGCGGACTGGATTGAGTCGAGGCCGGTCTCGAACTTCTTCTGACTGGTAGCATCTGAGTCTAAAAGAATGCACTTTAATACAAAAAATGTTATGAAGCCTTGAAATCCGATAAAATCCTTGATGTAACACAGTCTATTGAAAGCGCATTGAAAAAAAAATAAAACTCTTAAGTTCATGAATGCATCAATCCTGCGTTCTTTTTACTCCACTATACAACCATTTTGAGCTGGAAGCAAGATTTCAAAACACAGGAAAAAATATAAAACAAATATAAATATTTCTTAAACTTTTGCTCTAATTATGTCTAGACCATTGGAAAATCTGAAGATCTATAGTCAAATATATAACGGTCTTGAAAACTAACTGACCTCCGTTGTGATCCATGATCTTCGACATGACAGGACATATTTCTGCATACTTCGGCAGATAGCAATTCACTTTGCGAATGTAATTGGTAGGTAATCGTGACACAAATGGGCAATGTTTAATTAGCTGTTCCATTTTTGTTACTCTGAAAGTTATCATGCTCCCCAATAATGGTTGATTTTTGAAAAATAACATGAATTATCACCTCAATAAAATATATTTAAAGCGCGCACCAAATACATATAACATTAAACCAACCTATTTTGCAAAAATACAAACATGGAATGGGATTGGTTGCTCAAAGCTACCGCAATATATCCTTAGAAATCACACCCGCATAATTCCATTCTAACATTTAGTCTCACCTGAAGTGTTACCAATGGCTAACATCTTATAAAACGTAATATTCCGTTCTCTGCTACTCATAAATGACATTAATAATTGGCGTCCTTCTTTTTCGCTTTATTTTCAAATACAATTTGAATTTGACATCCTTCAGTATGATATTTCACACATGGCGAAACATTTCCTGACACTAAATAATTCAAGACACTAAATAATTCAAGACACTAAATAATGAACGGCAAAAAACAACAATCTAAAGATCCTCCCTATTTCCACATCAAAGGAAAAAGTTGACCAATCACAAGCTATGAAAGTTTTTTGTACCTTTTCAAACGAATGCTTGCTTCTAGAGGCAAAAATTGTCAAGAGTAGCCAACAGACAGGTTAGAAAAAAAATGAAGCAAAACATAGCCAACAGAAACTAGGGGCTCAGCTGGAAACTGAAATGGCCTGTTTGATAATTAAAAAAAAAACAATTAACGATGTGATGAAAAATCTTACCAATAATCAAAACTGTAGAATGCAGGTTGCATGTGAGCTTTGTCCGTCTTTAATCCCCTCGCTGATCTAGGACAGTTTTTGACTACTAAAATTTAAGTATTTAGATGAATGATTTACTTCGGGATAGTTATAAAATGCACCGTCATTTATGATGTTTGTATATTAGACACCAAACGTTCACTGATGAGGTAAATACGTAGCTGTTCTTCTTTCAGACCCTTCGGTAATTGCCATTGCCGCGCAGAATTCCACAATATCGGTTCACTGAGGAACAACTGCTCAAAACGTCTAACACGTGTCAAGGCTGTATAAACTGCTTGAACCCCTGCTCCTTTCAAGGATCCAATGCATAAAGTTCCATCACGAGTGGATCCCTGCAGCTAGTGTAACGTTACAGCATCTCCATTCACTAAAGGGAACTGCCGCATGGTTGCTGTAAGGCGTCCATGAGTCCATGGAGCTGATTTCAGAATAGCTATCTCTTTTGAAACAACTCTACAAGGCCAAACGCCGTCAGGAAGATCACGAAGCTTAACAGTGGCGCGGGCTCGAATACTTTCTGGTGTGGTCAGTCTGATAAGGATAAATTTTGGCAATTGGTATATTCTTCTAACGTGGGGTTTATGGAGTCTTGCCAAACGTAGCCGCAAACAACTCCAGTAGTCTCGTTACCCACTCCATGTACAACATCACAATTATGTGTTATCATCACATGCATGCCAAGATATATATACAGAATGGGGGGGGGGGGGGGGTAAAAACTGCAGCTTGGAATCACAAGTTCTGTATAGATTGTTGGTTTCCTGTTTCTCATGGAATTTTTTAAACCTGTTCTGTCGAATAAACCCTTAATCCCAAATCTGGACGGGTAGTTTTAGAGGAAATCGAAAAAGTCCGGAAAAAAACAAGCAAAAAGTGAAAAAAGTGCCGAGTTGTCGGGCTTTTCTAAGACCGTAGGGAGCGCGATAAGGTACGATTCGACCTAGGATATATGCAGGCGGTTAGGTGAAAAGTTAACAAGGCCATTGGTACCACATTTGTGAAAATCGGACGGGTAGTTTTTCGGGAAAGCGAATGTTCTATAAAAGCGTCTCAAAAAAAACAAAAAAACCCGATCTCATCCTGCAAAAAAAAAACGTTTTCATAATACCTGTTTAATAAGTCAGCAAATCTTCGGGCAATGCTGGCATAACTTTCGAAGCAAATCGTTCAACAAGTGTTATATCGTTTCGAGGAAATCGTTCAACAAGTGTTATATCGGACACAAATGAAGTATTTTGCAATAGCTTCGCTTTCTCTAACGATTTCCGTTGTTTACTTCTATTCAAGATTTGAGCCCTCTTCACTGGATCACTAAGACAACTTTTTGCTGTAACCAAACTCATAAGTCGTTTTGCCGGATTGGATAGACGATTCTTCGCTCGTTTTAAGCTTTGCAATCGCAAAGTTGGAATACTGTAACGTTCTCTGGCTGTCTGTAAGTTCCTTAAATTCTTTACTGGATCTTGAAGACGTTGTTTTGCTCTGCTAAGATTATTCAATCTGTTCGCTGGATCCAGGACTCGCTGCAAATTTGCGGACTCCATTGTTCCTAAAAAAAATACCGCAATTGGTCTATTAAACATTCGTTATACCAATTTCACAAAATCCTGAAAAAAAGCCAAAAAATGACTTTGCTATAACTAAGTCTATAGCTCTTCCCCTAGACCAATTAGGGACCAGCTGGTTGTGGAGGGGAGTTCCCTGCAATCTGGTCTGTCGATTGAACTCTTAATCCCTAATCTAAACGAGTAGTCTTCGAGTAAATTGAAAGATTCCGAAAAACGGCCAAAAAACCGAAAAAATAAATTTTCCTAAGTCAATAGCTCTTCTCCTACACAAAAGAGGGACTAGCCGCTCAAGCAGGCAAGTTCCCTGCAACCCGGTCTGTCGATTGATTCTTAATCCCAAATCTAAACGGGTAGTTTTCGAGGAAATCGAAAAAATCCAAAAACGGCCAAAAACCAAAAAAAAATCACTTTTCCTAGCTCAATAGCTCTTTCTGCAGGCAAATTAAAGACCAGCCGCTTGTAAATGGGAAATACCTACAACCTGAGCAATCAATTGAACCCTTAATCCCACATCTGGACGGGTAGTTTTTGTGGAAATCGAAAAAGTCCGAAAAAATGGACCAAAAAGTGACTTTTATTAAGCCTATAGCCCTTCCCCTAGGCAAATTAGGGACCAACCTCTTGTGCAGGGGAATTTCTTACAACATGTTCTGTCGAAAAAATTCTTAATCCCAAATCTAAACGAGTAGTCTTCGAGTAAATTGAAAGATTCCGAAAAACGGCCAAAAAACCGAAAAAATAAATTTTCCTAAGTCAATAGCTCTTCTCCTACACAAAAGAGGGACTAGCCGCTCAAGCAGGCAAGTTCCCTGCAACCCGGTCTGTCGATTGATTCTTAATCCCAAATCTAAACGGGTAGTTTTCGAGGAAATCGAAAAAATCCAAAAACGGCCAAAAACCAAAAAAAATGACTTTTCCTAGCTCAATAGCTCTTTCTGCAGGCAAATTAAAGACCAGCCGCTTGTAAATGGGAAATACCTACAACCTGAGCAATCAATTGAACCCTTAATCCCACATCTGGACGGGTAGTTTTTGTGGAAATCGAAAAAGTCCGAAAAAATGGACCAAAAAGTGACTTTTATTAAGCCTATAGCCCTTCCCCTAGGCAAATTAGGGACCAACCTCTTGTGCAGGGGAATTTCTTACAACATGTTCTGTCGAAAAAATTCTTAATCCCAAATCTGGACGGGTAGTTTTAGAGGAAATCGAAAGTCAGAAAAAAACAAGTAAAAAGTGAAAAACGTGCCGAGTTGTGACGCTTTTCTAAGACCCTAGGGAGCAAGAAAAGGTACGATTCGACCTAGAGTTTATGCAGGCAGTTAGGTGAAAAGATAATAAATCCATTGGTACCACATTTGTGAAAATTGGACGGATAGTTTTTCGGGAAAGCGAATTTTCTATAAAAGCGTCTCAAAAAAAAATAAAATAAAAAACCCGATCTCATCCTGTAAAAAAACGTTTTCATAATACCTGTTTATTAAATCAAACAGGAATTTAGAAGAGTTAATAAACGCGAGTAAACAGAAAATAACTAACTTTTTTGAAAAATCTTGAAACTCTTTCAATTTTTAGAACAATTTATGACTTACACTTTTTTGATAAAATAAACTCATATTGAGAAAACTGGGTCAACAAAAGATTTCATAAATTTCGCTGCGACAACTGAAAATTAAATTGCACTTTCAAAACTAGAAGTCAATCACGTTTTTCTTGACTTTTACAATTTTGCAGTTCGATAGTGGAGTTTGCCCTCCTTTTATCAAAGGAAATGAACTGTTTTAAAAAAGAACCCAAAAGCCAACCCGCGAAAAAGTAAACTTGAGCCTGAACAAAATTTCAGGACTTCCTGAAAAAAATCATCACGACTAATATAAGAGTCTGAACTACACTAGCGGACAAAATTTACGCAAATTCAAATTTATACTCTTTATAAAGCAGGGGGCGGATCTAGGATTTTCTCGAGGGGGTCGGATTTTGAAAAAACTTTTAAAAGTTTTGTCGATCTTTTTTTTTTAGGTCGACCTAAGCAAGGTTTAGTCCTGCTTTGGGCAAATTTTCTGCGCCGCAGACAAAATTTTGAAAATTCTTTGACAATTTTTGACAAAGTCCAAAAAAGAGGTTTTTAGGCACTTCTTGGTACATTTTGACCGAAAAAATGTGTTTTTTCGGTGCGCGCTCACCCCTCCAAATTAGTTTATATTGGCGGTACTTTTTCTTGTTTCTACCTCTCAAATTAAGAAACTCAAAAGCTTTGCTAATTATCTAGTGGTGCAGAAAAAATGGGATCTATTTCACAATTACTCCAAATTGAAAATTTTTTGGAAAAAACTATGTCACAGAAACTATCATATGTCTCTATAGAAGTTCAATCCAGGCAAACACTTCAGACACGTGAATTTTAAATCAGCAACAACGGAACAAATTTTACGAAAAGAAACAATCTTTGAGCAGACACAATTTGAGCCGAAAAAAAAAGATTTAAACTTTAAAGTCTCATCTTAAACAAAAAGGGACAACAATTGCACTTGCAACTACAATTAAAGTTGTTTGCGGCACAAAAAAAAACAGTGATGGGACAACTAAGCCAACAATCTTGTCTTGAGCTGAAACCACTTGAAACAAAAAAAAATTGGATTTTTTTCAAATCTTTCAAACCCCCATTGAAACTAGAATGAACAGCACTTGCACTTGCAACTACAAGAAACGTTGCTTGCAGCAGAAAAAATTAGTA